ATGGGCTCAGCGGTATCTAGATGCTTCCCCCATCTACCAGAGGCGTTAGAGACTACTGTGGGCGGGAAATGTCCTTGTAATTTGGCTCAGAGACGTCCTTGAGGCATGAGGTTCTTTTACGTGCCGGAGGACTTGTTCCCTGAATTTTTTCGCCCTTAAAAATTCCACGACCTCCGCCGGGTTTGAACCCGCGTACCTTGAGGCATGAGGTTGGAACGTTACCCCTAGACTACGGAGGCCGCTAAGTAAGTAAGTAAGTTAGTACACGAGGAGTCGGGCTGTGTTAGCCGAGGGATTGATTTAGTATGCAGTACAGGAGCGTCATCTTCTGGCCTATCGGAAAACTAGTGACGCTCACTTCGATGTCCCGCTGCCGTGTTAAGCCTGAGAACTTGATGAAGTTGTCCCGCCATTATCAACAGGACCCGTGGCATTATTCGGACACTGAGAATATCGCTTTCTCTTGCTTGTTTACTTTATTATACACAGCATGGCGAACATATTGTAATCTCGAACTGAATAAAGAAAGCGAAACAAATGTTGACGGAAACGCTGGTTTCGGGACTTCATATGTGTATGTACGGTTTTCATTTTATCACATTTTAATATCTGAACAAGTGGAGCGGGACGCCCTGCAGATTCCGTTTGGTGCTTGTGCCTATCTGTAAGATAGGCCTAGAGTTTAACATATCCTGTCCAAATTAAGTATTAATAATCAATTCTTATGTAAGCCTTGTATTTATAAAAGCATATTCAGGCATTGCGAATAACCGAGACACGGGGAAAGCACCCTGAATCGCACCCCATAAGAATGGGGTGGCAACATATTTTAAGTAGCAGTTACAGATCTCTTAAAATCTTATAATCCTTTACAAAACACAACATTTATATTAATATTGCGGGATTTTTTAAATTTTTTATAAAAAAGATTTAAAGAACCAAGGTCTGCAAAATGTGCGATTGTGGTTTCTTGCGTTGCTCCACGGGGGTTCTAAAATAGTTATTATTACTGCAGATTGTGACAAAATAGGTCACAAGTGAGTAAGGAAGAAACGTGTGGTACAGGAGTATAAATATGTGAGTATTTCAGTGAAATGTGGGTCTGCGTGTTGCATCCCCTCTCTCAGAACTTCGCCAGAGAAGGAATTATCTTAGCATCAGAGAGAATGAGAAACACGAGATACCCGTAACTATTCTTGCGGTTTCTCTCATATGAGTCATGCTGTCCACCCTTCACAATGCTAACGGCATACCGTGTATTCTCTTACTTCTTCTTGACACATCATACAAATCCATTTTTCATGATTTACTTCAGTAAGAACTTCGCTTTCAAATTTCTCTGTAGCCAGTGTTCTTATTTTCATCGGCTTTCCTTCTTGTACCTTCTGTTCCCACCCTTTCAATTCTCTGATGTTCTGCTTATCTGTCGCAAGCTTGTGGTAATCCTTCTATGTGCTACTGGTTGGAAGAATAGATTTTGTGTGCACAAATTTTTCAGCTTTTCATATTGTGCTGTAGATTTTGGAAAGGGCGATTTATTTTCAATTGAAACTACTTTCTTTGCTGGTGTAGAACAGTCTATTGTACTCGTAACATGAGTAAGGTCTAGCTTTTCAAAGCTGCTTGCTTTCCTTTGTGCTTCCTCAAGTGAC